CCTAAGCTCTGCTAGTTTAATAGGACAGTCTGGGAGTTCCTTTTACAGAGGTGCCGAAGCATTTTACAGCCCCTCGCATGGAGTAATTAACTCTCCCAGAAGCACCTTTCTCAGGCAAGGGAGGCAGCAGCCCAGAAATGCGGTCTCTGGAGGAAAATTGACATTCAGACTAGAAGCTTCTAAGAGTGATACAGACCAGTGCTCTTCAAATTGTTCTATCCTGTGACCTTTTCTCATGGTACACATTTTCTCCACGGTAGGATTTGGAGGATTTGTGTTTCATCGAGAGTAGTGTGCTATTCTGGGCCTTTTTTGTACCAATAAACGGAGAGGCAAGAGGAAAGATAGCAGGCCTGGCTTCTTGGCAGGCAGCGGAGCTGGGCACTTGCTCAACACTCTGAGAATAAAGACTGTGGGTGCGCTTTTGTGCCTACGGCCCCTCCTTTCCAACAGAGAATGTTAAATTAAAAAAAAAAAAATGACGAAACAGTAAATTGTGAGTCAGTGACTATGAAGTTAACAAGTTCAGCAAGAGGAGAGCTGAGTGAACATAAGAAGCAAGATTTTAGCCATAGCTTGCAGAAAGGAAGCAAGCATCCTGCACAGGTTCCTGAGGCAGGAAGAAATGTTGTCTTCACCAGCCTTCATTTTCATAAAGCTATTTTGAAATTAATAGTTTCTGGCTCCTTGATATTCTTAGTTTCCCAGGACTATTACTTAAGAAATTGTCAGGCTTATCACATTTAAGATTAAAAGGGATCTTAAAAGTTATCAGAGTAAATTCACCTCCTAGTGTAAAATTTCCTCGAGTAGGGTCTCTGGCAGATGGTTGTCCAGGTTCTCCTCTCTTGGTTTTAGCAATGGGAGCTCAGTTCCTCAAGAGAAACCTCTTCTACTGTTGGACAGTTTTAATTAACAGGAAACTCCCTATTAAGCCAATAGCTGTTTCTCACTGACTTGCCATATTTAGTGGCTCTCTCTGTATTTCCTTGGTTGGAGTTTTTTTAAATCCATAGACCAGAGGGGTACAGAAAAGATATAGATTACTACAGATTGGTGTTGGCATCCTAGAAATTCCCTGACTGATCCCATAAACATTTATTTAGCAACTCCTAAGCAGTGTGAAAAACTAATTCTGCCTGGGACTTGGATGTCTGCACAAAGGCCCCTATGAACTATCCACAGAGTTGTATCCCGCTGCAAGGAGCAGATGGCATATTTTGTCTCTGGTCTCACAGTCCCGGGCTGCACGCCAGCTGATGGAGAGGACTCAGTCATCCAACATGGAGACCAGGCTGGATGCCATGAAAGAGCTGGCCAAGCTCTCCGCTGATGTGACTTTCGCCACCGAGTTCATCAACATGGATGGCATTGTTGTGCTGACGAGGCTTGTGGAAAGTGGAACCAAGCTCTTGTCCCAGTGAGTATTGCTGCGGACTTCTCCTGACCTCCTACTCTCCACGGGGCCTCTGCCCTCGTTTCTAGCATCAGATAAAGATTTGACTGAGCATCTCTGTCCACAGAGTGGTGGCCAAACCCTGCAGTGCTCATGGAGAGGTCTTGTTCGCAGGGGGTACAAAACAATCCCTCGCTGAGTGAGTTGTAAAAACAGAGCCATAGAAGCTAGGAGGAAAGAAGTCAGTCCATGGCAGATCTGTTAATTTATGGATGAGGGCTAGTGAACAGATGAGACCATTCATTATCTCCCAGGCCAGGTGACTGTTTGTTCCTAACCAGTCCTCTGCCTACCCGCTCCCTGTGCAGCCACCTCCCACCCCATGCGCACACTTGTACACATGCACACACGTGCCTGCCTTTGTGTTTGCCACAGGCTTCCCCTACCACTCACCATCTGCCTGCCACACACTGTCAGGGAAGAGGAGAGACAGAACTCTGCCCCACCTCACAGGCCCCCCAGAGTTGGGCAGATGTGGGAAGCTGTGCCTGGGCTCAGTAGGAAGTGACAGATGCTTGGGTTTCTGTCTAAGTCTGTGGAGCCTAGGCTGGCAAACAGGGAATCAGAAACCATCTCTCAGGTGATGGATCAGCTACTGAATTTTTCAACCAAACCCCAAGCAACAAATCATAGGTATTTGTTTTAAGTCTTGGATCTTAGCCTGCACTGAAAACCCGAAGCTCTCAGTTGCCGGTAACAGTGACCCAGGAGTTTTAGGATCTCCAAGAATACAGGGTTACCCCAGCCTTGGTTTCCCTCTCTTTAAAATGGGAATGATGCCTCACATAATTGCTGTGAAGAGTATTATCAATGAGAATGTGTCTGAACATGCTAGTGAATGGGCAAATGCTTTGTTAATTATAGAGCACTGCATAGATACATGAAGGATTAAATGTGAAGAAGAGACAAGAGAGAGAAAACACTTTAATCCTTGTTCTCTGCCAGCATTATTATAAGAGCTCTGCTTACATCATCAACTCACCCTCCCCACAACCCTATGAGGGTAATGCTGTGAGACTAACTCGATTTTATAGAGGAAGAAATTGAAGTTTAAAAAGATAAAATTTGGGTAGTTAGTAAACGGTTGAACAGAAATTGAACCCATACCCGTATCTTTCCTCTTTCTCCTGCACACTGCTGTCTCTGGCCTAAAGGTTAACATGGGATATAAACTCTCTTGGGATCCTCCAGCAAGCATGAGAGTTTGGCAGAGGTCTGAGGTCTTCTGTGTTTTGGGAAATAGATGAGTGATTCTATATCCCAGAGATGAAGCAACATGGAGAAGGCGATCCTAATCACCCAGTGCCTTTTTTTTAAAAAGAAAAAATCATAAATACCTGGGCTGAATGCTCTGCATCTGGCTGGTTGTGCGCTCAGGCATTGAAGATCTCATTGACTTTTCATGGGGTGTTTACATTGAAATCTGTCCCCTTGTGGCTGCTTTCACATTCGTGTTCCCCGGATCTGAATCTGTATTATTTTGTGTGTGTGTGTATGTGTGTTGCACGTGTCTCAGCTACAGTGAGATGCTGGCATTCACCCTGACTGCCTTCTTAGAGCTCATGGACCATGGCATTGTCTCCTGGGACATGGTTTCAATCACCTTTATTAAGCAGGTGAGGCCTCCAACATCCTGTCTCTCTCTCCTTCCTCAGTTGCCAGCTGTTCTCTGGGATTAAGGGCATCTGGGGGCAATACAGCTCATATGTTCTGGTGAGGCTCTGCTTTATATTCCCTGGATTCATATGGTTTTTTTATCCTCAAGCTTTGGTCTTCCTGGCTCCTAAAAGATTTACACCTTATTATACAGGTGCTCCTCAACTTACAATGGGTTCTGATCTAATAAACTCATTGTAAGTTGAAAATGTTGTAAATCAAAAATGCATTTAATACACTTAATCTACTGAAGAGCATAGCTTAGCAACACAGTGTACTGCAGGATCTCAGTTGTTTACCTTTGTGATCATGTAGCTGACTGGGAGCTGCAGCTCACTGCCATTGCCAAACATAGAGAAAGAATATTGTCATCACTAGCCCAGGAAAAGATCAAAACTCAAAATTCCAAGTATAGTATCTCCTCAGTGCACATCACTTTGCACCATAGTAAAGTAGAAAAATTGTAAATTGAATCCTCCTAAGTCAAGAACTGTGTGCTCAGCACCTGCACTAAAAGGGTGGGACAGGATGTGAGAACTGAAGAGGTTCAAAGTGGAATTGATTGTCAGTGTTGCTCAGAATAAGCCAGCAAGTCAACCAGTACCATCCCCGAACCTTCTGACCTGCTTCCTCAGCTCTCCCTTTTCTTTGTTAGCATAAAAAAAACAATAAAAATGAGCATTTCATTTGCAAATCTACCTTCTGTTTGCAAATCTCCGAGGTAGCCTGTTTGAATTGTCATATTGAACACCATAGGTAGAAAGAGACCCCTTCTAGCTTAGCCCTCCTTTCTTCTGCTAGAAAGAGCAGTGTCAATTCAGAAAACTGAATTAGGCTTTGGATGCTGGGAATTTCCCTGCAGTCGAGACATTTGGACAACAGTGAAGTGACCTTGAGTCTAGGACATCATAATGGGGACTGAAAAGAAGAATTAGAGTAAAAGACTTCAGGGTCCTTTCTGCCTCTCAAAATCTGCAGTGTTCTCACTGTTTGTAGGGAGGAAGTGTAATTCAGGAGAAGAGCAGGTGGAAGTAAAATGAGATCCCAGTATCAGTAAATCCTCTCCACTCAGCTTTCTCGTGCCTGACTCCTTATTTTGAAAAAAAGGATTAAGCTTTTAGATTTTGAGGAAACACTTGAGTAGATGCTGTAATCTGAGATTGTGGTATCCATGCCTAGGGAACCCTTGCACATTGGCCAGGGCAGGGCTGTCCTCCCAGCCACAACTCCCCACATGTAGGCCTCATGCCTAAGGAGAGAGCCTCCAGAGCTGGCACCAGGTACCTCAGCTACCCAGCTCTCTGGAGCCCAGCTTCCTAACTGAGCTGCCCCTGTCTGGGTCTAGATTGCAGGGTACGTGAGCCAACCAATGGTGGATGTGTCAATCCTTCAGAGGTCCCTGGCCATCCTGGAGAGCATGGTCTTGAACAGCCAGAGTCTGTACCAGAAGATAGCAGAGGAAATCACCGTGGGACAGCTCATCTCGCACCTGCAGGTGTAAGAGGCCCCATCCACCCTCCCTTCACTTGTCTATTTCAGTTCTACCTCAGCTTTGTGTCTATTTCAAGTTGTGCTCATTCCTTCATTCATCTCCTCTTCCACACGACTGTCAGGATTCCTTCCATAATTCAGGCCCAGTCCCGTTAATGCTCCTACCTGAAATCCTCTTAATACTCCTTGCCCTTTAGGGTAAAGTGGAGGTTTTCCCAGTTTCCCTGTACCACCCAAGTATCAGTCAGAATTAGACACTTCCTCTCCTTTGGGCTTGATAGACTCGGTTTGCACCCATGACAATTATGGCATTCACTATATTGTTGGGGGGTGGGGGTACTGGGGATTGAACTGAGGACCTGGCGCTTTCGAGGCAGGCGGCAGAACCACTGAGCTAAATCCCCGGCTGTGACAATTGTATTTATGTAAAAACTATATTTTTATTATCTGTAATCTCTCTCTTAAACTTTAAGCTTCCTAGAAAATGGGCAACTCCTGCTTTGATTTAAGTAGATGCTCACTATTTACTGGCTGATGCTTACTGGACTAATGACTAATAATGCTATGGGGGCACCAAGAAGTATCAAAGTGTGAGTTCAGGATACAGTTCAAATCTAGGTTCTACAGTTCAAATCTAGGTTCTACAGTTCAAATCTAGGTTCTACAGTTCAAATATAGCAGCTCTCTGCCTTCAGCAAGTTACCTAGTTTGTCTTTTCTAGCCTCAGTTTTCTCATCTCTGTACTGGGGTTAATCATCCCCACCTCCCAGACTGTGAGGATCAAGGATTTTTTAAAAAGGTTTAACACATTCACCATGGGGTGATAATTCATATATCCCCCTGCCAGATGGCTTTGATTTGAATTCCATCATCTGATGTTAAATAGCTAACTGCCGGTAGTTCTAGCCCCCGATAGTGCAGTCATGAATGTACTACCAGTGGTTCAAGGTACCTGATGGGACAGTCATGCATATGTCACCAGTAGTTCAAGCTGGTGGGAACGTGTTATACAGTGACCCCCAAAGTATTCAGTACATTCAGTTTTATTGCTTTTGTTTTTTTAAGAAGCTCATCACATCATAAAATATTTTCCTAGATAATAAAACCAAGTGACAAATGAAGAGAACTGTTTCTCTCCTCTCCATTCTTTTTCTTCACTTGGAGCCAGTCTGCACAAATGAAGGAGGCTGGGCTTCCCAAAATAAGGCTGGTAACGCTGTTGACTCCTTTCTGACTCCTGCTCACTTCAGCTTGTCAGACAGTGTCAGAGTGCCTCCAGATTCCCCGGCCAGGCCCAGGAGGAGTCCTAGCCCACCTTTGGAAGTTCACACCGACCCTGTCTTCATTCAGCCTTGCCCCAACCTGTCTCCCTGACTAATCCAAGTAAAAAGAAAGCACAGTGATTGCTTTGCAGCTGATTTCACTTGGTCGCTTTTGAGGGATTCTTCAGCCCCACCTCTCATCCTTAAAGAGCCAACAGGGTTGATTAAGGTGAGAGAAACGTGATGAACCCTGGATAGAGAGTTGTGATTTTCCAGTGTCCTTACAGCTCCTCTCTGTTCCTTTGTCTTTGAATTGGGACAGTTCAGTTGCCTCAGTTGCCTCCCTGAGAACAGTAAGGGAACATGGCATTTCTTAGGGGTCATTTGTGAATACTTTCAGCCCCCGGCCATCACCAGCACATCGGTGCTCTGCTGGGGGGGGGGGGCACTTAATGCCCTCCGTTAGATTCCCAAGGTTTCCCCACCTGACCAGGAAGTCCACAGTCCCCCGGAAGGCCATAACCCCAGCATGGCGAATAGAGACATCTTACCAGCTGTCGGGATTGTAAGATTCCACAAAATGGTTATAGTTATTTTGTTTAAAATAGAGTGAGTTAAGTTTATAGTCAAAACTTTGAACATACAATAAACACAGTAAGTCCATTATTTGTCCATTATCCCACCTCCAGATATTACCACTGTTAAATGTTAAATTGTGTGTCCCTCCAGTCTTTTTTCCACTCTGCATATTTTCAACAAAATTGGGATCTTACTATACATATTGATAGATTGTTGTTGTTGTTTTTCTTTTTTTCACGTGAATAATATATCTTGAACATTTCTCCCTGTCAAGGATTCTTCTAAAAGGATCGTTCTAAACCTTTTTTTGCATCCCAGACACCTTTGAATATCCAATAACAACTTTGGGCTTTCATTGCCTTGGAACAAATATCACATGGTTAACTAAATGTGTAGAATATTTTCTGTACCATTTCTGGGGTTCACAGACATTTGAAGCCATGCCTGAATCCCAGGTTAGGAATCTTTACCCTAAAATTTTTTTAGTTGCTACTTCACCCTAAAAACATGATTTTTAGCTATTCAGAATCTTCATTTGTTAAACAAAGTTGCTAATGGAAATGTTTGGGTTACATAACATTTTTTTTGTTTCTTTTAATAGTACTTGAGCAGAACACCTTGTCCATAAATCTTGCACAGATCTCTGATTACTCTTAGTTAAATTCCTGTTAGTGAAATTTGTAGGTCAGCAGTATACCCATTTTAAATGCTTTTGAGACTTAGCCCCAGATTATTATTTGTTTCCAGACTGTAAGTGATTATTTGATTGATTGATTGATTCATTGATTGATTTCGGTACTGGGGATCGAACTTGGGTCCTTGCGCCTGCACAGCAAGTGGTGAAACCACTGAGTTAAATCCCTGGCCCTAAGTGATTATTTTAAACTGTCTATAAGTGTCATCTTGCTGCTCAGTCCTCTAATCTCCCTCTGCTGCTTCCCTCCATTGACACAGCTCCAACCAAGAGATTCAGACCTATGCCATTGCACTGATCAACGCACTCTTTCTGAAGGCTCCTGAGGACAAGCGACAGGTCTGTGGCCACTTTTTCACACTTTTCATTTGGGCTCTTCTAAGAGAAGAATTCTCACTTCAACCACTGTTCTCTGTGCTGAGAGCAGAAATCCAGCCATCTCCCCCAAGCTGCTCAGCCCAGCCTTCAACAGTCAGAGCCCAGCAGGTGGCTTTGCTAGGGAAGACCCTGGGAAGAATTGTGAGGGGGAACTTGCTGAGTCGCAGATCAGAGAAGGGGCCTGAAAGCTTTCTCCTTGGAAGACAGAGAGTAAATATTTTCTGCTTCATGTAGTCTGTATGGCAGCTATTCAAGTTGGCTGTTGTAGCCAGTAGCAGCCTTAAACAACAGGTAAATTCGTGGGTCTGGCCATCTTCCAATAAGAACCTTATTTATGCAAATAGGTAAGAAGCCCTGTGTGCCTATAGTTTGCTAACTCCAGGTTTAGAGGATCAGGAATAAGTTAGGGGAGACCCTCTGGGCATCACTGTTGAGTCCAAGGGATCAGAAATAAATGAGACAGCACCAAGTTTCATATATAAAAGTCTTCTCATCAAGATTCTAAATGTCTCTTCCCCTGTTCATTAGCTGTATGATGAGTTACGCAAATCGCTGTGCTTCTCTGAACCTTAGTCGCCTCTCTCCTAATATGGGAGTGACAGCCTCTGCCCTCTTCACCTCAAGGATATTATCAGGAAAAACAGCCCACCTGTTTTACAAATGAGGGAACCAGAAATCATCTTAGCAATGGAATAGGCATTGACCTAAGAATTAAGGGGCCGGGGACAAAGTACTTTTCTTATCTCTGATTCAGCAAGTATTCTGACCCCTGGGTCTCAGTTTCTCTTTCTGTAAAATGAAAGGACCAGATTAAATGATCTTTAAGGGACCTAGTAAGACTTAATACTCCAGATCCTTCTGATAAATGCCCGAAGAGTGTACACAGGTAAGACTTAAATTCTGTCAATGTCATGGGCTCAGTAAGGTGAGAAATCTGGGGGATTGTGTGCCAAGCTCTTGGTAGAATCTAGGGGGAGGATCAGAAGCATCTGTGGTTCTGTCTGTCCTTGTCTTTCTCCAATGGTGTGCCTCTGTGACTCTCTTCCTTCCTGGTCCTTGTTTGAATGTAAGCTGAAGCTCATCTGTCTGCTTCTCTCTGTGCTTTTTGCTTTCTGCCAGCAGGACAAGCATCTTAATCCTCTAGACCTGCCTGTCACTGTAAGTAGTACCCTATGTGGAAAGGGCCCCTGCTCACTTCCAGGTGGGAGGTCAAAGCTGGGCAGAAATGTAGATGTCCAGGAATGCTCAGGCCCAGGGAAAGGTTGTGAACTGAACATCTCATTTATCAGGACACGTAGGGAGTACTATAGATTAGAGTCACAGAGGGATCGAGGGGATGCCTGTCCCAGGTATTGTGGCCCAATCTTTCTTTTGCAACTTGCCTTTGTGTGGGTCTGTGGTTCAGCTAAGCTCAGATTCAGATAGAGCCTATGACTTTCATCCAGACAATATTGCTGCCTCTCACCTTGTATTGCCTGCCAGTTTGCCGTAGTAAAAGCAGGAAGGTAATTTTTGCCCTTTTGGGATTCTTCCTGGACAGTCAGAATTTGAAAAGGTTTAGACAGTTGACAAAAGGAGTGTGGATTCATTTCTTGGCTAGCGAGAGCTTTAGAAAAGCCAGCTTTATGAAGATATGAAAGAGGATGAGTGATTTGCCCCTCAGTACCAAGGAAAGGCTTAGGTCTGAGACCTTTATATTCTAGTTCTAGATGACTGACAGTTACCCACACTGTGAGTTATCCACAGCGAAGTTTAATCTCAGTTGACCTCCTGTAGCTACCGAAGAAGTTTCTAGGCCACTTTTCCTCTCCACCAGCCAGTATGTGCTCAGAAGATGCAAAGTAAAACTCAGGAGCTAAAGCTCCTGCCAGCTTTAGCCATTTGGAACATGGGTAGGAATTTAGAAGTGAGAGAGAAAGGCCTTTCAGCTCAAGAAAAGTGACAGAGCTCATGGTTATTGGCCCACTGATTTAGAATCATCTATAAAATTAAAAGAAGGCAGCAGTTTAGAAAGTGAAATCATACTAATTAACATTAGTGAGAAGTGATGGCTGACATTGGAAGGAAAAGATAGAAGAATTGTGAAAAGCTATCAGAAAAATTAAAAGTATCATTATCTGGAACCATTTTGTTTAGAGGAAAATAGCTTCACATTTCTAAAGCTCCTTAGGGGGGTACAACACATAATAATCACTGATGTTCTTTTGCGTGAAGCCAAGTCCTTGGCAGTGATTAAATTATAATCATTGAAATCTCTTCAGAAATAAAAATGTATATAATTTTTTCCCATTAAGTTTATTGGTACATTTTAGGTATATAATACAGTTACATTCATCATTGGGATCTTGTACCTTTACATGATGTATCTTGGTTCTTATTTTTGCCCCAAGGAACGTATATTTTTTAAAAAAAAAAAAAAACTTACATTAAAATAGTTAAAAATAATGGTTCTGAGAGAAACCTTGAAACTTTACTTCCTGAAAGATTCACTTATGTAAGACACTTTGTTTCCTGAGCATGCTAAATAAATAAAGCATTACTGTCAAAATCTGAATCAAATGTAATTTTAAAAAGTGAACCTATTTTGCAGAATTCCCCGGAAGCACACACATGCTGCTGTGTAAGCCAGTCAGCAGAGTCAGGTTACTGCTTTAGGACATCTGTGGCCTGGCCCTGCCTGCAGAGGAGCTGGAGGAGGCACTGGGCCAGAGTCCGTTCCTCAGTTTGGAGTCAGTGCTTGATCAGAGTCCCTTCTGGCCTTGGGGTGGCATCTGCCTAGAATGAAGCGTGCGGCGTGGGGACCATCATGCTACTCTTTGCTCTACGTGCGATGTCCATTGCCAGCATCCTTGTAACACAAGTGTCTCATTGTCTGTGTTCCTCTGTGAAGATGATGCAGCTGATTGTGCATTAGGAAGGAAAACTTTGAGTTCGTTTGCACTCACAAAAAAATGAGGGAATTTTTTTAGAGTGTAAAATATAGTTGATGGTGAGTGGATTTTCTTCCACTAACCCACTTTTCATTTGAAAGGAAAAAGTATTAAAAGGAAAAGCCCCAGAGCTATGTATGGCCTTCGTTTTGATAGCAGTCACAGGTATGTGCCTACACCTTTCCTTATACTCACTTATTCTCCTCCTAGGATATGGCCAATGCCTTCGCGCAGAAGCACCTTCGATCCATAATCCTGAATGTAAGTCCCTGGAGCACACTGTATTTTGTTACTGATGTCTTCTTACTGTTAATGGCAATTATTTCAGTTATTGCTGAAATTAGTATTGAGTAATGGGGCACACAGAGGAAATTTAATAGACGCTAAACTCTTCTCAAATTGTTAAAGTTTTTTTATAATCCTCTATTAATGAAGCCCTCTCACCAGGAATTGCAGCACTTCCAGGGAGGGACTAAGGTCAGCTATAGTTTTGGTTTTGTTTTTTTTGGTACTGGGGATTAAACTCGGGACCTTGTGCTTGCGAGGGAGGTGGCAGAATCACTGAGCTAAATCCCCGGCCCAGGTCAGCTATAGTGTTTGTTGTAACTCCAACATATTTATCCAGAGGGAATTTGCTAAAATAGGTGCCAAAGAGGAAAGTAATTCACTCAACTCACACTCATCATAAACCCAATTTGTGTGGGGCACTGACAGAGATGAGTAAAGGTATGCTTGTGGTCAGAAGCCAGGCATGGTAGTGCATGCCTGTGATCCCAACATTTGGGAGGCTGAGGTAGAAGGGTTGATCACTGTGAGTTCAAGGCCAGCCTGAACTACCTAATGAGACCCTGTCTAAAAAAAGACCTTGTGGTAGGAAAAACAGGGGTCATAATACAGTGTGGTCAGGGCTTCCCTAGAGATCTGTGACCTGGGAGAGGAAGGGGGAGCTGCACTGAGCCTTCCGGAATGTATCTGGGCGTGCCTGGGTGACCAGCAGGCAGACCAAGAAGAACAGGAGTTTGTGAGACCAGCTGGAACCAAGAGGGACTGTGGAAGTGTGTGCAAAGTGGAACAAGGGGCAAATGTGTCATGAGGCTGGAGAGGTTGCAGGGACCAGATCAACAAAGGCCTTTGTCTTCTTCCTAAGTTCAACTGAGGGAATCTATTCAGCATGGAGAAATACCCAGATTTATATTTTAGAAAGAGCCTTGTGCTTCCTGAGGGGTGAATGAGGGAGAAGAGTAGGCTTTCTTAGGGGCCTCAGGGTCTAAATAGAGGTCTCCTTTCCTGTCCCCATAGTGGTGATGTGGGGTGCAGGAAGACAGAGGCAGTAAGGGCAGATGGGAGCTGAGGAGAGAGCCAAGGATCTGGATTAAAAGAAAGCAGTTTCGGCTGGGGATGTAGCTCAATAGTTCCACCGCCTGCCTCGCAAGCTAAGGACCCGAGTTCGGTCTCCGGCACCAAAAAAAAAAGCAGTTTCATCGGTTGTCAAAAACAAGGGTGCCTTAGTCACTTTCCTCATTACTGGGACAAAACACTCGACACTCACAACTTAAGAAAAAGAGGTTTATTTTGCCTCAGTTTCAGAAGTCTCAGTCTTTGCACAATCAGCCAGCTTTAAGGCAGCAATAGCATGGTGGAAGGGCTTGGTGGAGGAAAGCTGCTCACATCGTGGCAGCCAGGAAGCAGAGAGAAGGAAGGAGCTGAGGAGGGAGAGAGGCCCTTGCAGGCCATGCCCCCAGTGACCCCCCCCCCAGACCAAGCCCCATCTCCCCACAGTGCACTGAGCTCTGAACTTGTGATCCAGTCACTTTCCATAAGCACCACCCATGAGCATATGAGGCTTTGGAGGGGGCACTCTCCATCTCCTCCCTAACAAAGGGAAAACAGAGAGACCACAGTGAAGGGAATAAATGAAAAATCAGGAGTCAAGAGTGAAAGACTTAAAATGCTGAACATGAACTTTGGAGTTGACCAGCCCTGCCTTGTCATTTTCTAATCTGCTTTGATCTCCAGCAGTTCTCACTTCTCTGGGCTTTTGGTTTGCTCATGTGAGTGTGAGGACTAAATTTACTAATACTCAGACAGTGCTCAGCAGGGTGCCTGGCACCTGGTAATCTTTGCTCTGTAGGCAGAATAGGACTTGAAGGTGATAGAATCCACGAAGTAAGCTCTGAGCACTTGTGCATGGATTGGTGGGCTGCTCTAAACCTGCAGAGTCCCCAGCTCCTGCCTGATGACTGCTTCTGTGGTGGTCACAGGCCAGTTAGCAGCCCAGCAAGAAGCCCCCCAACAAAGAAATGCTGGAACACTGCTCTTAAGTGGCAGTGGACAGGCTCTCAGGCATTGTTGCGGATACTCCTGAGCAGCTATTGGGGCACCTCCCATTATATGTGAGGGTGAGGGTCCCCTTCTGGAGGAAATGCAGTTTTGTTTGAGACTTCATTGGCTTAGTGGGCTTAGAAGTTCAGCTTATTTCTGTGATCAAGCAAAGATTCTACTACAGAAGACAACTGAGCATTTAGACTTAAATGATTTGCCAGGAAATAGTTAATTCATGCTCACTGAAGTCCAGGGCTGAGTCAGAGAGCCAGAGAGCCTAGTCCTCATCACGTGTGATGGCCAGGTAAGGTCAAGTGAGCCTTCAGATGAAACCTGAAACTACAGCTCATCAAACTAGAGCTGGGCTTCTTCAGTCCACGGCTGGCTAATTACTTTCCCGATGTGATGTCTTTTCAGTTCAAGAAAGGGCACTAAGGTTGGTGAAAACCTAAGGCATGTCAACTTTCATCACTGTTCAAAGCTGTTTTATAAATTATCTTGAGAAGTGAGAGGAAAGACTAAGGATGGACAAGGAAGGAGAAATCCGGGTGAAAGAGAGAGGAAACCAGAGAGAAGAAAAGGCTCAGAATGAGGCAAGGGACGAGTTGTAGAGAGAGGCAGGAAGCAGCAGTGTCAGAGAAGAGCCCGGGGCCAGGAGGGATGAGAATGCTTGGGAGGTGAAGGAACCACTGAGACTGAGCCAGGAGGAGCAGTGTCCGGCAGGAGAGACAGAGAGGGAGGGTGAGTGGCTGGCCCACCACCAGAGGCGGGGACCAGTGTCCTGTTCAGAGGGAGGGCAGGGCAAGGTCTAGCTCGAGCACACTGGCAAACCTCTAGTTTATGGGAATGCTGTCTGAGACGGGCATCACCTGAGCCCTTAAAAGGAGTCCTCTGTGGCTGGGGTGCTGAATGTGTGGTTTTAATTTGAGTTAAATTTAAATACCCATGTGCGGCTTGTGGTAACTCTACTGAGTGCAGATCTTGAGAAGTAAGAGAGCCAGGAATCACACAGCTGGGAAAGAGGTCTGGAGCAATCCTGGCCAGTAGAACTATAAGCAGTCCACATGGGCAGTATAAAACGTTCTGCAATGTGCTAGCAGTGTTAAAAAAGGAATAGTGGACGTGAAGTTTAATGACACAGCTTATTCAGCTCAAGAAACCCAAAACATCACTTCAATATGAAATAAATAGAAAGCACTACTAATGACAGATGTTACATATTCTTTTTTCATACTGAGGCTTTGAGGTCTGTGCATTTGACACAGCACATCTCGGTTTCGACTGGCCACATGTCAGGTGTTCAACACCACGTGTGCCTAGTGGGCACCAAATTAGACTGTGCAGGTTTGAAGATATTGATCTAGAGCCAATGCAAACTAAGAGAGCTGATCTAAAGTTCCAGGGAGCTCTGAAAAGAGAATGGTTAGGCTAGAGATCTCCAGAACAAGACTGTACAGTAGAACTTTCTGTGCTGATGGAAACATTCTGTGCCTGCATTGTGTCACAGCTACTAGCCACAGTGGCTTTTACCACTAAAGAACTGAGTTTCTCATTGAAATGTAAATAATCACATACGGCTAGTGGCTGCCACACCGGACAGCACACTTCCAGAGACAGGGTCCCTGAGTAAGAGAACCTGAGGGACACAGAGGTCACACATATGGAAATTGGACAGGAGGCTCATTTGGGCAACAAAGGACCCAGAGTGACAGGATTCAGGATGGTGGGTTAGATAAGGAAAGGGGGCAGTGAAATGTCCAGGGGAGCGAGGAGGAAAGAACAGGATATTGTGGGCGTAAGAACAGGGTAGTCAGGTTCTGATCATCGGGACAGGAAGGCGTAGCATACATGAGAAAGACAGATGGATGGAAAGGAGAGAAGACAAGGGGACCTAAAGTGGGGTTGGGCATGGGTTCAAAGGGAGGAGTGATGAGCCACCAGGGAGGGCGGGGCCAGAGTGGGGAGGACGGAATCAGAGAAGGGAGGGGGACATGGTGTGGGAGACACGAGCAGTGGAAGGAAGAGAGGCACATGCAGAAGGGGGAGTGTGGCATGCATGAGTGGTTGGACACGAGAATTAGATGTTTCTCCACTGTGTAGGTGGCTCAATATCATTTAAAGAAAATGATCTTTCCTAAAGCCTCTCCACTGGGTAAAGCCATCTAAGATGTTTTTATTTTTCTAAGAGAAAGTGGCTGTCTCCCATGCACTCTCCATTGTCCTGGATTCAGTAATCTTGTGAGGGGCCCGACTGGAGTGGATCCAGTCACCTGAACTCAAGGACTTGCCTCCCCCATCTCTGGCGAGGTTCAGGCCGGGGCCCTTCATCCCACTTCCTCTGCCCAAGGGAGTGCGAGGGACGGGATTGTCTCCTCGGTTTGCAGTGAATCATCTCTGTCTGAGTCCGGCCCATTCATCCTCCATCCCCTTCTAGAACATGAAGTCCCTGTGTGTGGGAGGAAACTCATTTCCTGCCTGGTACACTTTTTTTTCCCCCGCTAGCATGGATGTGGCTCTTCAAAAAAGAGACAATCAGTTCAGCCCTGTTCCCTGCCTTTGCTTTTCTAGCATGTGATCCGAGGGAATCGCCCAATCAAAACTGAGATGGCCCATCAGCTCTATGTCCTTCAGGTCCTGACTTTTAACCTTCTGGAAGAAAGGATGATGACCAAGATGGACCCCAATGATCAGGCAGGTGCTAAGTGGAGCAGTGCCATCCTAACCGAAATCACGTGCTGTTTTCTCAGGGCTGTGGTGCATTCCCCCTCAGTCTGTGTGCCAGCAGGCAGTGTGTGGGTGGTCTTCATTTGCAGAAGTGGTTTATGTCTGCTCTGAGAAACCATTGCTCTAGCGTGGTCTGTGCCTGCTGGGGCCTCTATGAGCAAGCGCATTTCTATCCCTCTGTGGTAGAGGTAATGCCTCCCAAAAGTCTTACTGGGGCCAGAATTTGTCTTGGAAGAGCCTGAGCCTGCCCCATGTTCTCTTCCTTGCTTCCCCTGGCCAGCTCACTTACCTGCTGACTGTCTGCATCTTCACTCAGGCTCAGAGAGACATTATATTTGAACTGAGGAGAATTGCATTTGATGCAGAGTCTGACTCTAGCAATGTCCCTGGGAGTGGGACTGAAAAACGCAAAGCCATGTATACCAAGGACTACAAAATGCTGGGATTTACTGTGAGTACCCTAGAGCGTCGAAGCCCTGACAGCTCCTTCATAATAGCGGCCCTGCACTAGATACCAGTAAGAAAGAGAGGGGCACAGCACTTGGTTTGCTTCGGCAGTGGCACATTTGCAAGTTTATTGCAACATTCAGTCCTGTAAAACAAAGTCCTAAGTAGGAGGGCCCAGAAGGTCAGGTAGAGAGGGACCTATTCCCCAAAGCAGCTACATTCTTTGCAAAGCTAAGGTGACTATTTTATGGTAGAATGTAGCTGAGGGTGGGCTTACTTTGATTAATAAGTACTTACTGCACACCTCCTCCATGTCTGGAAGCAAGCTAGGTGCTGGGGATACAAGATGAAGCAGCCCCAGTCCAAGTCAAGCTTAATTTAGCAGTAGAAGCGGGTGCGTGAAAAGAGCTGGGCCAGAGGGGTGTGAGTACAAAGCACTGGCAGCAGAGAGAGGGAGAGGGCAGTGGGCTCCACACACAAGGACACAGCCAAGTCTCAGATGGGTGTGTGTTTCTCCAGAACCACATCAACCCAGCCTTGGACTTCACCCAGACTCCTCCTGGAATGCTGGCCTTGGACAACATGCTGTACTTGGCTAAAGTCCACCAGGACACCTATATCCGGGTAAAGACCGGTTGGCTTCTCATTCCCCTTCCCCTCTCTTGCTTTCCTCCTTTAATCTCCCTTTCTTCTTCCCCCACAGATTGTCTTGGAGAACAGCAGCCGAGAAGACAAACACGAATGTCCCTTTGGCCGAAGTGCCATCGAGCTCACCAAAATGCTCTGTGAAATCTTGCAGGTTGGGGAACTCCGTAAGTGCCCGCAGCTCCTTCTGCCCCCTCAGCTAGTGTTGTCACCAAAAGCCTGGTGAGACTGGAGATCTGAACAATTAGAAGTCAGTGGGACTGGACAGCCTTTTGGGGGTTTCTAATTACTGCCTGAGCCAATGAGAGTCCATCTTATTCTTGCTTCTGGGAGCCATCGCCATTGCTTTAGGCTGGTAATTTGAGCGTGTGCAGAAGCTGCATGTGAGGGCCGGCTAAGTCTGTAACAGGGTAGAGGCAGACCAAGAAAAAGACCCTGCAGAAGAAGCTGAGAAAGTGAAGAAAGGCCCATACCACTCTGGTTGGTAGCCACTGGCCTGGTCTGCTCTTGTTCCATGGGACTTCAGTGCAGGAAATCCAGTGTTTGGATGTGAGCTCCCGAGGCCCTATAGGCAAAACCATCATCGCTTCATTATTCTCTTCCACAGCAAATGAAGGGCGCAATGACTACCACCCGATGTTCTTTACCCATGATCGAGCATTTGAAGAGCTCTTTGGAATCTGCATCCAGCTGCTGAACAAGACCTGGAAGGAGATGAGGGCAACAGCAGAGGACTTCAACAAGGTCAGTGTCGCAGAGCTGCTCTGAAGCTCATAGAAGGAGATGGCCTCAGATGGCAGCTGGCCAGAGCCTGGAGAATCCCTTAGCTGGAAAACCAGCTTGGTCTGCCCTGCTGAGTCACAAGACTGAGCCATTGGAGAGCCTCAGTCCCATCTGGTTGTGACTCCTTCAATAACCTTGGGGTGGTGTCTACCCCTTGGTGCCCAAATCTCTCATTTGCTCAATGAAGCCAGTACTGAGCCTCCATTTTCCTTAGGACTCAGGAAAATAGCACAGCAGAATAGCTGTGGTTTACTGTGCACCTCCCTACCATGTGCAGTCTCTGAACTGCAAAGGTTAGGAGAGGCAGCAGGGGACCGCTGTGCTTTGCACATTGTGGGTGCTTCATTATGTTCCTTTGGTGCTTTCTGGGTAGTCTCTCCATGTAGAGCACTGCTAAGTCTTCACAAGACCTAGCAGTCTAGGAGCTGAGTGTTTGAAGTTGATCATCTCATCATAAAAAATTCGAAAAGTGCAGTATAAAAAAAGAAAAAGTGACCTACAATTTCACCACGCAGTGACATCCATTTGTGTGTTTTCCTACAGTCTTTTTGCCATGGGGTTTTCTTTCCTTAGGGAGATCATATTGTACATGCAAATATCCCATTTTGTGCTTTTAAGAGTTTGTTTTAGGGGAACTGATGCAGTTTTTAACACCCCACACCATGCAGGCACTGTGCTGGCCTTCCCTGTAGCGTCTCCTATTCTTTGCAGCAGCACTATTCTTTACGGGGCATAGAGGCCTCAGGATGTCAGGTAACTTGCTCAAGGAACAAATTCTCAAGGACTTTGTCCTAGGCCAGAGTCAAGAACTGCACCCATTTTTCTCTGACTCCCAAAATTCTGTGCTTATTCCCCGATACCTGTGATTAATTGGAATATATGAGAAATAAAGTATCTGTCACTAGACCTGAGTAGCCACTAACAAGATGTCCCTTAGAGAGTCAGTGCACTCATTCCCCCAGCAGGTATCCGATCAAGACACCAGAGCTGGGAGAGCCTTGGTCTCCACTCAGCCCGGCCGTTTCTCAGAGCAGTTGTGTGAATCCCTGCCTTCTTTCCTCAGGTTATGCAAGTAGTCCGAGAGCAAATCACTCGAGCTTTGCCCTCCAAACCCAACTCTTTGGACCAGTTCAAAAGCAAACTACGTAGCCTGAGCTACTCTGAGATTCTGCGACTGCGCCAGTCAGAGAGGATGAGTCAGGATGATTTCCAGTCCCCACCAATTGTGTAAGTGCCCTCCTCGAGAGGCCCATTGGGGAGGCAGCCCCTACTTCTGCCTTCAAGGCAACTCCTTCTGCCTTTGTCCTCATGACCTTCTTACTCTGATGCATGTCCAACTTAGGGAGCTGAGGGAGAAGATCCAGCCTGAGATCCTTGAGCTAATCAAACAGCAGCGCCTGAACCGGCTCTGTGAGGGCAGCAGCTTCCGCAAGATCGGGAATCGCCGGAGGCAAGGTGAGAGGAGGTATGGGCATTGGGCTGGTCCTCGCCCACTGGCCTCCCTCCTCCCTGGAAGGAGCCTGCCGGCAAGGTCCCTCCAGGCAACAGGCAGGCCTGTGCCGTCCTGGCCTTTGTGGACCCAAGCCTTTGCCAGTGCTTTCCCAGCTCACCTGCTTGGCTTGTGTTCCAGAACGGTTCTGGTACTGCCGATTGGCGCTGAACCACAAGGTCCTGCACTATGGTGACTTGGATGACAACCCTCAAGGGGAGGTGACATTCGAATCCCTGCAGGAGAAAAGTAGGTTCATTTCTCTGTTGATGTGTTATGACAGCTGGACTCATCTACCTGAATCTTAGTCTTGTTTCAAACTGAGTATCTGGTCTTGGGCCTGTTACCTCTCCGCACTTGATTCCTCATCTGTCAGAGACCATCTACCTGGTCTCACAAAGTTACACCCAGTGAGGTCTGACAGCTTCATCAAACCACAGTTGACCAGAAATGACTAAGGAGGAGGGAAGAGTACCAGGCCGTGCTGCATGATCACCCTCCCTAAGCTAGTGGAGCCCTTTGTGCCTGGGAGCTGCAGCTTCCTGGCACCCTGTCCCATACTTCCCTTCCAGCACTGGGGTGAAAGCTGACCAGCTTGCAGCGTATGCTTCCAGACACTAATTCCCATCATTTACCAGTCCCTGTTGCAGATATCAAGGCCATTGTCACTGGGAAAGATTGTCCTCACATGAAAGAGAAGAGTGCTCTGAAACAGAACAAGGTAAATGGAAGCAGTCCTGGCTTGAGTGGCTGTCACCGGGCTAACTGTAGAGTACAGTTGGTGCGATTGTCTTTTTAGGTAGATTCTTAACTGTCTTCCCTCTTTAAATTATTACTAAACATTCTTTTAAGAGGAATTTTGAACATACACAAAAATAGAACCCTGTACACATATCACCCAGCCTCAGCAACTATAGTACACGCTGCCATCCACTTCCTCTTTCTTGTGACTGAAGAAAATCCCAAGTGTCCCATGGTTTCATCTGTGAATATCTAAAATATAGACCTGTCAACCATAATACCTTTAGCACACCTAAGAGGAAATTAAAAGCTATTTTACATCTAGTATTCCATTCATGTTTGAATGTCTACCAATTATCTTATGAATATCATAATTTCTCCATAAACAAATGTGCAAAGGTTTGTATGTATACACACACATATGCACACTCATACCATTTCATTTTGAGGTTTTTTGTTTTGTTTTGGTTTGGTTTTTGATATCGGATATCAAACTCGGGACTTTGTGCTTATGAGGCAGGTGGCAGAACCACTGAGCTAAATCCCCGGCCCCATACCCATTTTGTTTAAATCACAATTCAAGTAAGGTCTGCACATTACGATGAGTCTAATTTTCTTCATTCATTCATAAGTTCCCCCTCCATCTTTTCCCTCCTCTTACTTTCTTTGCAGTTTATTAGTTGAAGAAACCAGGTTGCTTGTTTAGTAGTTTCCCAGAGTCCAGATTTTGCTGACTGTCTCCCCATGGAGTAGTTTAACTTGTTCCTCTGTCTCAGATCTGTAAATTGGTAGAGGGATCTAGAGGTTTGATTTGGTTGAGGTTTAACATTTTATCTGGCAAGACCACGTCATAGATAGTATTATGTTCTCTCAGGAGGCCCGTAATGTCTGGGTGTCATGTCAGCAGCCTGTCATGTCAGCAGGCTGTTGCTGCTCACTGCCTCATTCCATAGTAAGCTAAGGTTTGCAAACTAGTGATGTTCTCCTGCACTTGTGCTTTTGTATTTATGAGCTGAACCACTTCTCAGAGGAGAAATTTGCCCTTATCTACTGTGAGTTTCCCAGTGGTGCCATTTATGTAAGAAAAGAAGATAAATGCTTGATTCTTCTTTTATGTGCCTACTTTTACAACAGCAAGTTAGTTCCCTGGTATGCAAATTTTCTGTGCTTTTTTAAAGCACTGTTATGAATTTTAGGGATTTAAGCAAATTATATTTGTTTCAATCCATTGCAGTTATTTTGTTGATGTTCAGACTGTCCAGCCTTTGCAGTTTGTTTTTATTTTAAGCTGTTAACACTTTCCTGTGCCAATTACAGCACGATAGAAAGATGAAGTAGTCATCTGGGGAATACAGAATGAAAACTTTTAGGGTTTCATGCAGTCATGAACTCTGGCATTCAAGGGTTCTGAGTATTGGAAATAATTTTTCTTCTATCTTTACAGCATCACAATATCTTAGGCATGATTTGGGCAAGGAGTGAGTGAGTTAAGGTCGATTAAGGCTGGGCCTCATTCCTGGTCATACCTGTATTGACCTAAATTGACGCCTGTGGTGCTATGCCAGATGACTAGGACTTGGCCAAGATTTTGGTATTCAAACTTCATGCCATTCCATTGTTCTAAGTAACTGAAACCCTTTGCCCTTTAGGAGGTGTTAGAATTGGCCTTCTCCATCCTGTATGACCCCGATGAGACCTTAAACTTCATCGCTCCCAATAAGTATGAGGTGAGCACTGCCTTGGACAGCACGGGTCTGTTGACTCTTCAACAGCTGGAGGAAGGAGTGCACAGAACAGGCGCACCCCCGAAAGGCAGGTGGCCACAGTGGATCTGGAAGCATCAGTGGACACTAGGGATTTGCACACAGTAGGGCTGTCATCCCTGCACCAGGCTCTCCACAGTACTCTTTCGTAACAGCTGTATGTTGTCATTAGAAAGATAGGGCCAACTAGGGATGACTTATTTGCCTAGGACTTAGAAAATCCTCCTCTCTTCAGTTTCACCATGGCCTCCCACCCAAACAGACATGACAGGTCCTCCCTTCTCGGGGTCCCCAGTTACGTGTTGTAGTGGGTCATTCCTGGCCTTTGAAACCAGATGGACCTGGTTCTTCTGACAAGGGGCTCACAGTTCCATTGCAGCCTTGGAGAATACAACACTGGATTAAGTGAGTAACTGCAGTGGAGCCCTCAGAGTTCTCAGTGGGAACTGGAGGCTTTGAAAGAGGAGATGCACAGGCAGAGCCTGAGCTGCCAGTGAAGTTTTGTTGGGAGGAAATGAGGAGCAGGTGGGGAACCAGGTGAACAAGGTATGAAAAAGAGGGCAGCAAGAGAGGGAACAGGAAGAGTTAGGGAGTTCTGTGCTCTTCCCTCTCATCCTGAGAACCTCTTGCCCAATTTTTTATTTACTTTTAGAGCAAAATTGAGATCCTACAGTGTTCCTGTTTGTGTCCTGGTTTGGTTTTTTTTTAATCTAGTATACGCTTTCCCCTTCCTGTTTGTAATTTGGGGGAGTAGCTGGCATTCACCGGACTACACAATCACTGCTGATTGTGTACCTAACTTCAGGGAGGTGATACTCCCAATTTTCATTGCATTTTTAGATCACATTTCATATTATTTTAAGGAATTTTAATGTAAATCCCTCATAAAAACCAGATCTCTTGAAAAACTAATGATCACCTCCCAATTTATCTTTGCTATTATTCCAGATCAGTTTTTCCTGTCTGAATAGTGCCAGAAGGGACTGAGTGAGTCCCATCAGAATCCCTTGGCAGGATCTGCAGCCCTAAGACTACCATATAACATTTTGCAACTTGCTTCCCACAGTACTGCATCTGGATCGATGGCCTCAGTGCCCTTCTCGGGAAGGACATGTCCAGTGAGCTGACCAAGAGTGACCTGGACACACTGCTGAGCATGGAGATGAAGCTGCGGCTCCTGGACCTGGAAAATATCCAGATTCCCGAAGCACCACCACCTGTGCCCAAGGAGCCCAGCAGTTACGACTTCGTGTATCACTATGGCTGAGCCTGGAGCCAGAGACCACAGTATCCAGGAAGCGATTGGGGCCTAGGAGTGACACTCATAGTCTGGTGCCTTGTCATTTGCTTGTACAGAATCTGCAGTGATCGTGGTGGCCAGTGACCACCAGCCACTCTTCAAACCCAGCAGCATTCCTCTTGGACCCTGTCCACTAGGAGTCATGAAGGCAGGGTACTCTGCCCTCTGTCACCGTGGAGCCTGGGATGGGGCCATGAGAAATGAACAGCAGGTGCCCTTGCCTTCCAGGCCCCAAACTGCAATTTGAACTGGATTTAACAGCAGTCATCTTCCTTCTCTTCCTGAGCCCGCTCTCTGGTTGGCTGGACCTCGTGTGAGCCAGAACTGGCCCAGGAAAGGCTGCCTGCAGAGGACCAGCGTGCTGGGCGTGTTGAGAGCCTTGGAGTGACTGCCTTTGGGTGGCTCATGCCTGTGGCTCAGATCTGAGTGCAGGCCTTGGGCCTTTGCTTTTGTCTTCTTCCTGAGGGCTCTCTCTAGCCTCATCTGGTGCCAAGATGTTGCTGCTCCTGAGTTTCGGCTTTAACATCTCTGGTCCCTAGAGCTATCAGCTCTTTTCTTGCTCGTGCAGGTATCGGGGCAGTTGGAATGTTCTCCTTACAATCTCTCCATCTCATGCTGGCCAGGCAGAGACCTACAGGCTAAATCCTGTCCTCTTAGTCTCTAGGAACGGTACAGGAAAAGCCCAGCTGAGACCAGGGCTAGACTGTGGTGAGGTCACTAGATTCCAGCCCCAACCCACATTTATATCTTTTCCTTCCTAGGGGAGTAATCTCCCACTAACCTGAACTGCAGCCCTCTCTGGGCTGCTTCCCTTTGGCCTTCCAGACTCTAGGAAGTTTGCCTTCCCTTCCTCTCCTTTCTAGTGCTGTGGTTTCTGCCACTGGCTGTGATTTCAGGGAGCTGGGTGAGGCCAGCTGAGGCCACACCTGTGCCATGGGGCTTCCCCAGTGCTGCAGCACTTGAACCACACGCACAGCCTCTCTCCTTGTACATATGTTAACACAGTGGCATTCAGTATTTGTAGCCTGGCATGGTAGGTACTACCCAATGAAGAGTGTAGTATATATTTTCTTTACTATACGCCATACTTATACAGACGTGTATATATATTTATATAACATCTACCTATCCTAAAATGGAATGTTTGGGGGGGGGGGGGGGGGATGCTCACAATCGTGAGCCAACAGTGTAACCAGAAAGCAGCAGGAGCTTCCTGTCAGTAACCATGTTTCAGTAAACACTCTTTCCTGTACAAACTGGTTCAATTAACAGCTGTTTGTCTGCACTTGCTCCCTACCCAAGGGTGGAGAGTAACTCCGGCATTTCATTGTACCTGAGAGACTCCAGCTAGAGCCCTTAGCCACCTTTCTCCTCCTCATCCACCACACCCCCACCACACACTCAAGACACACACCTGCTGGTTAAAGATGCTTGCAGACTGTTGCCCTGGGACAGAGCATTTCCTGCTCAGCACTACAGGGTACAGCAGGGAAAGGCATACTGTACCACCTCGTGAACATGTTCTCCCTCTGCTCCCTGCCAAAGATACAGCCAGGTAACAGCTCAAGTACTTGTGCCTTACAAAGAAGACATGTTCTTCAGCCAGTGTGTCACCTATGCTTAGCGCCCAGCCTTCCAGCTGGTGCTTTAACCTGTTGCTCCAATCCGTGGCCTTGGTAGCTGGGAAGCTTGAATGAGGGAAATGATGAAAACAGATACTTTCTCTTGCCTCTGAGAGAGAAGGGGTTAAGGACAAGGTCTTGCAAAAGGCATAGAAAGTACATGCAATACAGGCCTTGACGACTGAATAAAGTCAAGACCTTGGATAGTGATGGGTACCACTGTAGGTGCTTGGTAAGCACTGAATGAACTAATGCCTGCATAACACCAGCTGGCAGAGGCAACAGCAGCAATTTGCACAAAGTACTGCTTACACTTGGGCCTTCTGTTCAGAGGGGCCAGGGGCCCAGCTGAGTCATTTGCAAGGATCCATGTTTGCAGCCAGTCCTTCAGTGCAGAACCCAGGAAGAAGCTAGAAGAGGTCAAAAAACAAAACAGCCTCATTGTACAGCCCCAGCCTGCCTGCTTTAAAAATGGCTTTCCTTGTCCACGAACACTGCCCTTTTTAATTCATCCTGCAAGATGAATCAAATGCCCCAGCCTAGCATTTTGAGTCCACTGCAACCTGCCCTTTGGTTACTTTAACATTGGTTTTGTTAGCTTTGTTTATGAACAACCTGGGTTCCCAGTAAGGCAGGAGCCTTCTCACCACCTTTTAGGATTCTTGTTTCTTTTAGGATGCTCTTACCCTACTCAACTTCTTTGAGACAGAGTTTCACCGTGTAGTTCAAGATGGCCTTGAACTCACCGTGTAGCCCAGGCTGGCCTCACACTCACAGCGCTCGGCCTCCCAAGTGCTGGGTTTATAGGCTTGCGCCACCCAACCCTGCTCAATTTCTTGAAATTAGATAATTCTTACAAAGCTTCAGGCATACAGAAAATACTTCAAATGTTTATTATTAATTGAGTCTTCTAGGTCAAAATTTAATGCCCTTGACATTACTCCATTACTGCCTTGGGCTCCAAGAAGAAAAAGTCCATGAGAGATTTATTTTCGGGGTTATTCCACGACTGTCCAGCACTGGACTGGACCTAAACAATTTAACAAAAGTAGACAGGTGATCTTTTTGGATGTTCACTTGTTTGCAGGGCAGTAGCAGGCAACAGGGGTCCAGAGCAAGTCCCGCCTGCAGCGCAGTAAACACACGATTCCAACCCTGGGCGGTGCTCCGCCCAAAGTTAAGGGGCTGCGCGGAAAATAGAACCCAATTGGGTCCGCGCCAGGAGGTTAAGTATCCAGCCCCGCCCCTCCTCCCAGTGCCTTCCGGCGGAAGCGCAGGGGTGGAGCCTGCCCTCATACTTCCGGCAGGAGAATCCCGGGGAGTGCCCCGGGCTGAGGTGAGTGTGGGCTTGGCCAGCACTCCGGGGCTTGGGAGGGTCGCGGCTGGAGCTGGGTATGGGCTGCGCGCGCGGTGTGGGATACGCCTGCGCTCCTGCCCGCCCCAGGCCTCAGTCTCCCGGCGTGTGGAGGGGAAGGGGTCCCCAGGGCGCCCTCCCGCGGGTCGCCTCCCGGGGGCCAGGCGGGAGCCTCTAGCAGCCCTGCAATAGAGAGGCTGAGCCCCGCGGTAGGGGTGGGGCAGGCGGGCGGGAACTCCTGAGCAAACACGGAAACGTCAGGCGGTGAGAAGTGCCACGAGGACAGGGAGGGGAGCCTCGGGAAAAGGGTCGGCCCAGCGAAGGCAGACGGAGCAGAAGGAACTGCAAGTGCCGAGAAGGACCAGGACTTGGTGTGTTGGTGAACTGCGGAGGTCACGGTGGTGGCTGCTGGGGGCAGGAGTAGGAGGATTAGGTGGCAGAGACCAGATCGTGGGAGCCTCCTTAGTGGCCCGAGCCGAGGAACGGAATCAGTCCTCGAAGGGCTCAGACTGCTATGTGTGTTTAAGGCGTCTCTGGCTACTTTGTGGACTCAGAATATGGAAGCCAAAGAGGAAACAGGGAGACCAGCTGGGAGCCCAGCTGGGAGAAGTAGGTGAAAGGTACCACACTGGTTGTGGGTGCAGAAGCGAAGAGAAAAGTGCACGGGACAAGAGGTAATTGAGGTGGAACTGACAGGGCAGCATTTGAGGAATGAAGAAAGTGAGAGGGCGCTCAAAGATGACTTCATCTTTGATGTTTGCGTTTGGCTTAAGCAATCAAGTGTATTATGGTGGCACTTTCTAAATTACTGTACTTTGGAACAGTTTGGAGGCATGAGGAATAATTATCAGAATAATAATTCTATTAGAATAATAGTTCTAATAGAATAATAATTCTAATAATTAGGATAATAATTCTATTAGAATAATAGTTCTAATAGAATAATAATTAGAATAATAATTCTTAGGGTATCTTAAGTTTTAGATATCTAGAGAACCACCAACAAAGCAGTTAGATATAGTAGTCTGTGCTCATGAGAGGTTAGGTCTAAAGAATGTAGAAATTGGGTCTGTGGAGTAGCATGAGATTACTTAGGTAGGGTAAGAATTAAGATAGAAAAGAGAGGCCAGAGTCCAACCTTCAGGTTCCCAGTTCTTACAAGTTGATTTGAAGAGACAGTGTCAGCCACAAAGATCAAGAAGGAATGCAGAAAAGAGGAAGAAAAACGAGGATGTTGGTGGCACCTAAGAAGTTTCTTCAGAAGAAGGAACTGGTTAGATGTATAGAAGTAGAACAGATTTGGCCCCTGAAGGGGCAACAGGGAGGAAGTGTAGTACCTGAGGGGCAATAAGAGCAGGCTGAAGTGAGGCAGGTAAGGGTGTAGAGCTGGCTGTGCAGGGGCCTCTGGGGTTGTTTGGCTGTAAGGAGAGCTAGAGACAAGTGAGCCCTGACCTTGAGCCAGCATCAAGTGCTGTACCTGATGTCATTGAGTCCCCTCCCCAAGAGGCAGGTGTTTTATCCCCTATCACAGCTTGAGGAACTGAGTCAGGTAATTTAGAGTCAGGCAGTAGTGAGTAGAAGCAGCAGGATTTGCTTTTGGGTCTCTCAACTTCAAAGCCCAGAGCTTTGAGAACAGGTGGGGAAATTGAGAGCCAGGTCTTGTGGTGGTGCACTAGTCCTCCTCTGTTGTGCCTGTTGTTCCTAGCGAAGCTGATCCTTAGGAAAGTGAGGTGAAATACGGAGTTTCTTTCCTAGGCTAGTGGGATTGGAAAGAGCATTTAGCCCTTTAAGCCTGGTCTTGTTTACCATAGAACGAGGATGAGGATCTTAACAGTTTTATGTCTTTATCTCCAGTGGTAGGTACATAAGGTGACTTAATGAATGCACATTGAGTAAGTGGCTATGTGATTTCAAAGGACGCTTTTAGCTGAGGTCTGGTGTTGGGGTCGGTGTTCTGAATGCTGATAAGATAATGATCCTTGTTCACTTTGAGCCAGTGCCCCTGTGTCCTAGGGTAGAATTTCCTGTAGTTGGGGGACCGAGACAAGCTCTTTGAAGAAAAGGAAGGATTTGAACATGGAAAGAGAACATTGCAGAGTTGGAGCAGGAACTGCATCAAAAGCAGAAGGCGCAAGAAGTTGATTGACAGAAGTGGGGACAGATGCCTCTGGCTTGGAAGCCACTGGAAGGACCCAGGGAGCAAGTGCCGGGAAGAAAGTCCTTTTAGTGCCAGCAGGGAGCATTTTTGATCCCCAGACAATATGTGACAAACTCTGGGCACAATTTTGGCCATTACAACTTAGAATTGGGTCTAAGGATGCTCGTGATATTAAGGGGTAGAAACTAGGGGTGCTGCTAAACATCCTGCAATGAATAGGAGAGGCCTTGTTCCCACCAAGGGTTATCTGGTCCCAAATATCTGAAGGGCCAAGGTTGGAAACCCTGCGGTAGCTGGGGAGAAATTCAGTGGTGAAAGACAAGCTTAGCATGTACGGTGCCCTGGGTTGGACCCCCACATCAGAACAAAAGACAGGAGAGACCTTGTGATAGAGCAAAGGATGTGGCCCTTGAGGTCTTGCCTGAGGCCTGCACGACCCACCCTAGCTGTGCAAGCAGCAGTCTAGCTGGAATAGCTGGAGGAGTGGAGAAGCCAGCAGGGGATTCCTGCAGACCTTTGGGGAGAGGATGGGGGCTTGGTCAGCAGACGTGTAGGTCAGAAGATGTAATCATACCGAAGTGTTCCTCAGAGCTAGAGCTGGCAGTAGTTGATGGAGTGTGGGCTAAAGGAAAGGAGTCAGGGATAAGAATGGGCAAATGATGGTGCCTTGTCCTGGAAAGTGGGAAGAGGAACTGATTTGGCTTGGAGTGGAGGTGGGAAACAGGCCCGTTTCGGGCATGAGATCCCGGATACTAGACATCCAGGTGAAGAGGCCGGGTAGGCAGTTGGCTGTGCCTCGGGAGCTCATGGGGAATTTGAGTTAGGGTCCATACAGGGGAGATATCAGCTCAAAGAATTTCAAGGAGTGAGACAACACAAAGACAATAACATTCAGTTACTCAGCGCACTGGATCTAACACACCCTTCTTATCATAAATAATTTCATAACAACCCCCTTTGTTATCCTAAAGTGAAACCTATGATTAGTAAAAGCTGCCTACACATATTTTTTTAAAAATCAATGTTGCCCTAAGTATAATACATGGAAAGTAATGTACAATAAAAGAAAATGTGTTCCATTTGTAAGTTTCTGGGGACAGCAGTACTAGAGTCAGAATGAATTAGCCAGTGTGTCCCCTCCCTGTAGAACTTCTAGGCATGTGCTAGCCACAAATGAAGATTCACACCACTATGGTGTGTTGGTGGCTCAGAAACCAGGAGCACCATTACCATGATTAGTGCAACTTTTCCAGAATGGAAACTCTTGGTGCCATTTTGACAAAGCGTAGTCTCCCCTCAGGGTACATGGTAAGTTTTTTCTTGGAAATTTCAGTGCATAGTAGAGAAGCCATTCTGTTTACATATAACAGATATGTAAACATATGTAACACATACCTGAGTCGGGTTCTAGGTTTGATTAATCGTAAGTGAACCATACGCGACTAAGTCTTGAATGCAGAACAGTTGCTTACTCTGTATACCAAAAGTATCCTCCAAATCACCACCACAGGTTTCCAAAGCCCCTCTGAAGAGAATTACAGCCCTCAGGAGCCCTTTGGGCAAAGCCTGGTGCCGGCTCCCAGTTTGCCTTGGGAGAGGGCAAGTGACTGTACAGGTTTCAGTGTGCAGAGCAGCATATAATCGGTCCCTTCAAAAGGGGGGTGGGGTGGGATTTAGCTCAGTGGTTCCACCGCCTGCCTTGAAAGCGCCAAGGACCCGAGTTTGATCCCTGTACCAAAAGGGGGGGGCAGGGGAGGGAGGTCTGAGAGGGTGGTTCTAGGAAGGCTTCCAGAAGGAATAGCATTTCAGCAGGGGGGAGGTCTCAGAGGCAGTGCAGAAGAGGGGCATCCAAATGAAGAGGCAACTGGGGTAACACAGGGCTCAGGCTCCCCTAGGCACAGACAGGTCTTCACTCTCCGAGTCTGGCATGCCCTGGACGCTTATTAGGGTTGTTGGTCTGGTAGAATGGCAAGATCCTAAGCAGGCACACCTCCTTGGGAGGAATTGTCAGAGGCTAGGACCAAATAGGTGTGAGTTTCTTGGTCTACTTTAAACTACAGAGACGGCCAGATCAGTTCCCTGAAAGTCAGGTGCACCGTCTGAGTCATCAGACCTAAGGGAGAACAAACAGACTGCCCGTGGACAAAAGGCCTGTATGGACAGGCTGTCCCTACCGTCCTGTTACAGCCTTGCAGGGGACACATATTAACTCCAACCACGCCCCGTACAAGGGAGAAGGGAAAGTAGGGGGCCTTGCAGGCCACCTGTGTTCAGTGGGGGATGGAGTGTCTCTGACGAAGTGGCATTTGAGCCAGAGATAAGTAGACCTGAGGAAGGACTGAAGGATGAGTAGGGTCCTTGCTCCTCGAGAAGGATCCCCACTGGGAGAGAAGGGCAGCGGGCAGCGGCAGGCGGCAGGACCACCCCAGGGAGCGGGTGAGACGGGCAGGGCCAAATCAGGGCCTTGGGAGCCCCAGGAAGGACATTGACCTTTATCATAAGAGCACTAGCAGCCGCTGAATGGTCCCACATGATCTGCTTTACATGTGAAAAGGTCACTTTGGTGGCAACCCATGGAGAACAACTTGTGACAAGAGAGTGACAGGGCTCTGTGAGTATCTGCTGGTGTGAGCCAGGCCCTCAGGAGCCACACACCCCTCCGCTCCCAGGCCCTTCTCTGCCTGAGCCACCATAGTCGCCTTCTGGTCTTTCCAGGAGCAGACCCGGGGACCCAGAGCTCTACATCCAGCCCCCCATGGAACTGGCCAGCTCAGGCCACCAGCCCCTTAGGTGAGGACCCACCTGGGGCTCTGTCGACCCTTCTGAATCATGGAGACAAAGAGAGCTCTTCCAGCCAGGGGACCTGTCTGTTGAAAGTCGTGGTCCAGTTCATCTTCCTTCCTGTGAACTGTCTGCAAGAGGGTGCCGGTCCCTGCTGGCCAGGAGCTGGGCACTGCAGCCTCCCCGAATGGGGCGCTGGGCCCTTGACCTGGCCTTTGTGTGGAAGGCGGTGTTCACCCTGGGGCTGGTTCTTCTCTACTACTGCTTCTCCATCGGCATCACCTTCTACAACAAATGGCTGACGAAGGTAACTAGAAGCTTCGCCAGTGCGGGCTCTGGAGTGAAGGTGGCCGTGGTTGGTTCAGCCATGTTGGGGACACAGCAACTCTTGCCATGGGCAGGGCTAAGCAGGTAGCTGGCAAGTGTGTTGAAGTGGTAGATACAGCCCAGGGCTGCAAGTGAGCCCCTGGGCTGCCACTTTTCTATATGGCCTCTAAAATGGGGATTAAAATTCTAAGTCTAAGGGATTTTAATGCAGGTGAGACCCCTGTGCACTGCCAACTACAAGCTCTGCCCGCTGGCACCAGATAGAGGGAGGAAGCAAGGCAAGGAGGGCCAGGCCATCTGCATCAAGCTCAACCCTTGCTTTGGGCTCCCACAGAGCTTCCACTTCCCCCTCTTCATGACAATGCTGCACCTGGCTGTGATCTTCCTCTTCTCCGCCCTGTCCAGGGCGCTGGTTCAGTGCTCCAGCCACAGGGCCCGAGTGGTGCTGAGCTGGACCGACTACCTCAGAAGAGTGGCCCCCACAGGTATGTGTCCTAGCTAGAGGAAGGCTGTGGACAACCAGGCCAAGACCCAGAGAGAAGTGCTCCTGGCCGTGGAGCCTGGCCCTTCCCCTTGTACCCTGCCCCTCACCACCCCCTTCTTGGAGTGTGGCCAGGGTTCCCATCCTGGTGGTGCTGTGACAGGGCCACAAGGTACACAATAGAGCAGAGGAAGGGAGGTAACCACAATTGGCCAGCAGTGGTAGGAAGATTTCCTCGATCAGGTGCTGAGTCAGTGACACCCGAAGGATGGATAGGACCTTCCAGTCCCGGGAGGGAGCACGGGGCAGCAAGTGAGGTCCATGAGTGTCCTCAGAGGCTGAGGACTTAGGAGAAATGAGAACCAGAGACCCAGCAGGGGTCCGGTTCTGGAGGGCCAGGTGTCCTGCGGAGTGTGTATCGCTTCCTATCAGAGAAGGGTTTTCACTAGGAAAGTGACAAGATCAGGTCAGTACTGCTTCGGGTATTGACCTTCAAATCAGTTAACAAACGGGAGTCACATAAGCACCCCAGTCAGAATAGACCCCAGCCCAAATGCTGACCCACCCCCGCTTTTTGCCACATGTTAGCCATTTAGTCGCTAGGTGAAAAGGCCTGAGACTCCCAGAGGGATCCATGAAGGAGCCCCAGGAATATACCAGCCACACTGGCCAGGTGCCCCTTGTCTCCACAGCACTGGCGACAGCACTGGACGTGGGCTTGTCCAACTGGAGCTTCCTCTACATCACTGTCTCGCTGTGAGTACCGGCCACTCCCTGCAGCCTCCCTTCAGGCTCAAGCTCTCTCTGTGTGTCCGTCCAGCTGGCTGTCTGCACACCCGGCCGATGGGCCAGCCACTCCATCACCCTCTGGGACCAGCTCTTGTTCCCTCAGCTCCTCGCTGGCACCCAGCCGCTCTCCGGGAAGCCTCCAGCCTCTTCCGTAAGCCGAGCGCAGAGGGCATGCTGTGTCTGCCTGCCAGGCAGCTGGGGGAGCCAGGGGGCTCAAACAGAGTAGTTACAGGTGCAGCGGGGGAGAACAGGCTATGGAGCAGCGAAGAGAGGAGGGGTTGGTACGTAGTGTGTAACCACCTCAGAGCTCAGGGTGGGCACAGGCCTGCGTGGTAGTTCTTCTCCCATGTCTTGCTTCAGAGACAGTCTCTGCCTTCCTCTGTCCCCTGTTGGCTCATCCTTCCTCCTTACCTGATCTCGGCCAAGATCTAGGTAAGGAATAGGACTCAGCAAACTCAATTGCAGTTCTCCCTGGTAGTGATCAGAGGCCTCTCAGAGAACAGTGAAAAGTCACCTGTCAGTCCGGATGATAGGCCAGCTATTTTTGGTCTTTGTACCTCGGTTGCCCTCCTACCCTGGACAGTGCCAGGTGCCCTCTGGGAACTCAGGGGTCTCCCCCTTCCCCTTCTCTTTCCCAGCCCACTGATCTGTGCTCTGGGCTCTTTTCTGGGTGGTAGCTCTGAGCCCCAGGCTCCAGCAGTGCTTTGTGGGTAATTTCTGCTTTTAGGTACACAATGACCAAATCCTCAGCCGTCCTCTTCATCTTGATCTTCTCTCTGATCTTCAAGCTGGAGGAGCTGGTGAGGCCTCTGCACCTCTTGTCCCTCCTACCCCACAGATGCCAAGAATAAAATTGTCACTCTGTGTAACAGAGGAGACAGGCCCAGGCCAGGTGGCAGTAACTTCCTTTGCTAAGAAGGGACCTAGACACAGGGGCGATACGCAGAACGTTTAGAAAGGCACAGCAGAGCACTGACAAAAGGGGAAAGCACCAGGGTGCTGTAGGGCAAGACCTAGGGAGCCCCTATTGTGTGAGCCCGTAGCCCTTTGTTGCTAGGTCCAGAGGGGAGGGAAAGACTTGGGGGCCTGGGACAGACATCAGAAAGCCCTTTAGTATTTTAGAGCAGGTAGGGATATTGGGAACATCCAGCTTGAATGTCCACCCTGTGTACATCAACTGGCAAGGACTACCTATGACCCTGGGAGGGTAGGAGAGTGGAAGAAGCAGCCAGGGCGATGAACTTTTGCCACTGGAGCCCCCTGAATTAGGTGCACCTGCTCCCCATCCTAGCGTGCAGCACTGGTCCTGGTGGTCCTGCTCATTGCTGGAGGCCTCTTCATGTTCACCTACAAGTCTACCCAGTTCAACGTGGAGGGCTTTGCCTTGGTGCTGGCAGCCTCGTTCATTGGTGGCATTCGCTGGACCCTCACCCAGATGCTCCTGCAGAAGGCCGAGCTGGGTGAGCACATGTGAGCAGGGCGGGCACAGGAAGGCTGGAGGCTGTGCAGGCTTAGGCCAGACCTGATGGCCCCCTGTGTCCCCATCCTGCAGGCCTCCAGAACCCCATCGACACTATGTTCCACCTGCAGCCACTCATGTTTCTAGGGCTCTTCCCTCTCTTTGCTGTATTTGAAGGTATGTTGGGTCATCCACCCCTGGGGCACGTCAGCACAGCAAATCCCAGATACCTGCTCTGAGCCCAGCACAGTGCTGGCCACAGAGGTTACTGGTCAAAGCTGCCATAGTTTGGGTCTGGACAGACACATAAGCGGTTATAAAATGGTTAGGATCCAGTGTGACAAGTGCTGCAAAGCAAGTGTATATACACAGTACAGGGGACAACGATGACTGTGTACAGATCTCTGAAGGTGCCCATTAACGCGCTCCCTCATTTCATCCTCCCCCGAAACAACTGTGGAGGACTGTTACTTTCTCCAGTTTGCAGGTGAAGGAAATAGGCACAAGCCAAGTGTGGATCCAGCCTCCTGGCTCCCAAGTGGTCAGGTCCCCTCTTAACCACTGTGCACACTGCACCTAAGCCAGGGCTCCCAGATCGTGCATTTTGGAGGATGGGTGGAATGTGGGTGGGCTTGGGGACAGGGTGTCCTGGGAGGTGGGGCAGGAGGCTCAGCTGGGACCAGGCATGCGGCGGTGCGTATGTTCAGGGAGTCTGGGCTGGGTCGGCTAAGTGTGGGCTTGGGGGCTGGGGCCAGGGGCTGGAGATCAGGAGCCAGCAAGCAGGAGCCTGGGGCTTCCATCTATTGTTCCCCTCCTCTTTGAGCTGCCAGAGAAGGGGAGAGGCAGGGAGAATTGAACAGGATGGGCGGCACAGCGCCACCTCCCTTCCTCCTGTGTTTGGGGTTAGTCTTTGTCCTCTATCTGTTTATTTGCCCTTCCTCCCAGAGTCCCGACTGTCCTCAGGGTCATTACAGAAAATTCCGTCCCACATCCATTTAAGTCTCAAGCAGTGAAGCGTCTCCAGCCTCCCTGAGAAAATTATTCTGCAGCCCCGTTGTCCGGGAAACTTCTGTTCAGAGCCTTGTGTTTTTCCTTTTTAAAATTTCTCCCCATTCCTTCATTATGCCCTCTTGTACCAAACTCCACACTTGTCCCCTCCCTCCCTGGGCATCTGCACCATCTCTGCAAACCCTCATCTGAAAGCCCCTGGTAGTCACCACTTAGTAAAGCTGCATGGATTTAGCTCCTTTAATCTTTTCTGGTAAATTAATCCCCCAAGCGCCTTCATTACTTATGTTGCTCTTCCCTGAATTCCCTTCAATTTGCCGACGCCTTTGCAGTACTGCTGAGCCCAGCACCAAACAAAATATCCTACATTGGAGGCTGCTGGCCTGGGGTTGGGGCACAATCACAAAGTTCTCATGCGCTTCCAGCTCCCACAGGTGTCTCTGTTGTGCCCAGTGTGGGGCTGACTTCACCCCCGGCTGATAAGGCCCTGGGGACTTTGCTGCTGCTGGGAAAGACGCAAGAAGTCATTCTCTCAGACAGGCCGTAGATCCTAGTGTATTGTGTGCACATGTGTGGGTTCTAGAGCAAAGGGTCAAGGCTCTTCGTGTGTGTGTGTGTGTGTGTGTGTGTGTGTGTGTGTGTGTGTG